CATTATTATTACTTTTATCTTTCCTGCGTCAATAAAATACTATAATAGCCAAAATACCTCAAGAAAAGTAAATTTATGGAGACCTGAGGAAAAGAATTCAAGTTGGGACAGTTGTTAATGCTTTGTTTCTAAGATAAGTCAGACTGTGGCTTAAAAGAAATGCACGCATTCAACTTAGGGAAGTTTGAATTAATAATGTTCAACTGTATACCACTGTGGATGCGTCCATGCTGGATGCTCATGATTAGTTTTCAAGCAATTACTAGACCATAAATTCGAAGGAAAACTCAAGCTGGTAATTCTTGCCGCCCGTGTATAGCACACTTCTACTGGAGAAACATGTGCAGGGCATTTTGAAAAAAAAAATTAGCTTACACTCAGTAGGAATATCACCATATTTACATACTTCTTGACTTCGGGGTTTTTTTTTTCAGAGCGGGATTCAGGAAGCAAGATCCGGGTTCATGTTCATGTGTCAGCTCGGGGTATATGCCGTCGTGGCTCTGTTCACTGGAAGACTGTCCGACAAGTTTCCAGAGCGACGATTGCGCATGATGACGTTCGGGTTGTTCTGCTTCGCTGTGGGTTTTGTGGTTGTCGGCCCGTGTCCCATTGTTTCGTCCCATGCGTGAGTATAGACGCTATCACGACATAGATGTCGCATCATGAGTTGGTGTGTGGTAAACAGTAAAATTGCTTTACAACAATTGTTTTTCAGTCGAACACATTTTTTTTCTCAAGTCCTGGCAGAAAGCCTGTTTAAAGACTTACGCGTTGAAACAATCTCATTGCAACAAACTTCCCAATTCCAGCACAACAAACTATTTTTTGAGGAATGTTTGATAGATTCTCCTGGTGGAAATTTTCTGACTAATGAGGCAGGCACCGTCTGGAAATTCCTGATCCCAAATGTGACTAACTGGTTCTTGTGGCATGAATGCTGGAAGCTGTAATGAATGACAAGCATGCTTTCTAATGGTTCCACGCTTAATACTCACAGAAAGAAGAGATTTTCACATCATCCTTTAGAATGAAGATATAAGTGCAACTGATGGAATGTGTAAGGTTTTAAACTAAAGATTGAATTTTTCAAGCCTTACACCTTGATTTAGAGTTGTTTCAGCAGAGTATATCAAGAATTTCAATTAGTTGAATCAAACACAGCAATTGGCCAGGCACGAACCGACCAGGGATTTCTCCCCAGTAGCAATGACCTTTCTTTTCTCACAAAAACGGTACAAGGAAAATTATACACAGGATTGAATGCAGACAATAAACAGTTTCACACACACAGATACAAAAGGTTTCAGAACACAATTTCGATTATGAGGAATCCAGTTGAATATAAATATTCCAGAAGTGGACCAGAACCTTATTTGACAAGGAATCTCAACAATTTTCCAATATCCCAACTTTCTTGAACACAGGTTTTAATTAGAATGTTGAATTAGGGAGAAATTTCAGAAGTAAAAATACCAGAGTATTCCAGAAGTGGACTCAGGTTTTTTGCACACAACACTCAAAGTAAATGTTTTCCGAAAAGTCCGACACAATCAAAAAATAACAATGCACACATAAGACCTTGTTGGTTTTCAAAAGGTAAAGTTAAGTTCCAATATTCCAGAGATGGACTAGAACTGTGTTTGGTAGAGACTCACAACATTCAAACAAAAAAGATTTCTCAAGAAGTTTGCAAAATTCCGAATATTTGAATATTTGAGGCTCACAAAAAATGCCTGTTGGCTCTCAAAATTTGACTGTGTTGGTTGCCCAGAATTCGGGGGGTTTTATGCAATTTCCCCCGCCCTTTTTGGCGGGATTTTCTCAACAGAAAAAATGCCCAGGTGTTGGGATTTTGTAGCTTGCACAAACACCAGATGTTGGCAGCTGTCAACAGATTTTAGAATTGCTCTTGCTGTTTTTCGAACCTTTTCAAACATGTTTTCTCCTTGTGACTGGGTGCCATTTTATTAGTTTAGTCAGGGATTTTTTGGCGCCAAGTATTGCCCCCAGAAGATTGGTTTTCTGGGGGAGTCGCGTATTTTGGACAGCTCGAAATTGGGAGACAAATTGCTTTTTCCCAAAAGACCATATGTTTCTGTTCATTTAGTCAGCAGCTGGGTGTGTTTTTGCCCTGTTAAATTACCCTGGTTCAGACAAGAAAATTGTCCTTCAGAAAGAGCATGCCGATTTTTACAGTCAGCTCAAATTGCCCTGGTTGTCCAGATTTCCTTTCCTTCTATTTTGATTTTGTGGATTTTATGACTGCCTCCTCTTGCTTCACCCCAGTTAGGGGATTTTCTTCCTCCTGTTTTTTGGCGCGTCCCCGGACGCGCCTGTTGAGTTTCAAGCCCACCTGTTGCCCCCCTTTTCAGGGCAGCAACTTCGCCAACAGAAAAATTCCGCACAGAATGCATGGTTGATTGGTTGAAGCTGATTTTTTTCCTTTCAGAAAATCACCCAGTTTTTCAATCAATCATAAAAGAAAGTTGAAAGTAAAAGGGAAGCAAGATCTGATCGATTATAAGCTGTCACAATTTTGAAAATCTTGTTACTGTAAAAAACAACATCTTTTGAAGTTCCCAAAAGTTTAGGTATAATCATGAAATTTTACTGCATGTAGCAAATGCCGTCCCGATTCTGGGTTTTAGTAATAATAAGTGGCAATGCGGACGAACGCTGATTATCGTAGATATGCTGCAAAAGGATTCCAGTTACAACTTAAATTTAATTCAAAGTACTAAATAAACAATTTAACAGCGATTCTATCTTGAGTCTTGAAAAGTCTTGGAATTTTTACTCCGCAATTATTGTTTTAAACAAGATTAATTCGAGTTCGACTGGAATAATGACGTGAAAAAAGTATGTCGATTGTTTGGGCTAATTTAAGGACAGTTTCACGTACCATACTTCGCTAGCTGATTTCAGAAATAAAATTCGTAATTTCTTTTTTTTTTTATTGCCCTGATTCAGGTCGTTGCCAACGATGGCTATCGGGCTTGTAGTCATCGGAGTTGGATCCGCGTTTATCCTGATACCCACGTACCAGACATTAATCGAAACCGCGACGTGAGTTCAAAATACATTTTGGGACCCCGAGGTGCGGACGTAATTGGTGCTTTGGACCTTGTCACTACGCTTTGTGTATGTAAAATCGTCCGTATGTCGGATCACGTTTTTCCTGTAGACTTCAATGGGGATATATTCAATTTCTTTTCCTGTTCATCAAAGATAGGGTTGCATCTCTCAAAATATGTAATAAGTTTTTTCTAAACTTCATTGTGGAAAAAATAACTGTATCTTGAAGAAAAGCACACAGAATCTGTTTTTTTGGAAGAGCAGAAGAAGCAAAAAACAAAAACAAATCTAGCTAAAATGTGCACAGAGGTTGGAAAAAATTCTGAAAAAGAAGCAGCACAAAATCAGCCTGCTTTTGATTAAGAATTAGAATTTTTTATAATGGAAACTTTTTATGAATATGAATAGCTCAATTTGTTCAAGAGGTCATCAAAATGTAAACTTTTTTTTTACAATTTTTAGAAATATATAGAAGCGTGTGCCCGTATTTTGAGACGTTGTCTGGATGTTGGGGCACATTTTGTTTTTATATAGTGTCCTTAGGTCGAATCAAACGTATGTTGGGTCGTCCGTATGTCGGGATCCCAATTTTCTGAAATTTCCAATTTGCAATCCAAATTCTGTTGTTCAATTTTGGTTTGTAGGGATGCCGGGTATCCAGACACGACTGCAACTCATGGGATTATTGGGGGAGCCTGGAATGCCTCTTATACCTTCGGGTAAGAATGGGGTTCGGGGTCGGATTGAAACGTGCAAACGTGACATTCTATTAGTTTTATAGTGTTTGGAAAATTTAATTGTAATTTCATTCTCTGTCTCAAAATATTTTCAACGTATTACGCATACAATTTTATATGATTTCCCCGGCTCTTTTAACTTTATGATGTAGCATAGCATTTCACGTATGACCGATTGAAGCATTAATTTTGCGTTTTGGAGCTTTCGCAGTAATGCTCGCAAACCGCTAAATATTTCAAAACATTTAACTGCTGAAGAAGGGTTCGATTCATTTTCGTTTTTCAGAATTTAATTGCACTGTGCATGATAGAATTGCAAGAAATTATAAAATAAAGCTCATTAATGTCTGGAATGAGAGGGTCATTTGGGTAAAGCACTGGATAAAAAGGGCGCATTTTTCTTTCTTTTATGATCCATGATGACAATTTTGCGGTTTTGGAAATTTTAATAAAATACTTTAGCTTTAGCAGATGACACTAAAGTTATGAAGACAATGTATTTCTGTTTCATTTCCACGTGCCTTCTGGGGAAAACAATTTATTCCTGGAACTTATTCCACACTCAATGAAAACAGGAAGAAATTTGAACTTTTTGGGTTATTCCGTTTTTTTTGGAAAGGTTTCCTCAATTTTTTTATTATTTTTTTGCAGTGATATGACTGGACCAGCCGTTGGTGCCAGCATAACAGAAAAATTTGGATATCCCTGGGCTACAACGGTGTGTGGAATCTTTGCCTTAAGTTTTGTGAGTATCTTTGGGAATTGCTTTTGGGATACATTTTTATTTAAAAAATTTATTTATCTCATTCAGTTTTTTAAAACCTTTTCTCTCTCTCTCTCTCTCTCTCTCTCTCTCTCAAGGCTTTGTGCATGACTTGGTTCACCTGTGCGGATTCGCGGAAATCTTCCAATTTGAATTCAAATACTGTAGTAGTGTCACCCAGAGGTCGAAAAACATTTTGCAGTAGCACATCAGGTAAAGAAAAGTTACGAGGTTTTGTAGAAGTCGCGAGCTATGGTTCATCCGAAATTGTCTCGTGATTCAGATCCTTTTCGTTTTTTTTTCTTCGATCTTATTTCCTGATACTTGTATTTGTTTCATAAATTGGGGCGTGAGTGATTTCAGCGGGATTTATTTTCAAGTGGTTTGATGACGGTTTGAACAGAATGAAAGCTTCGTTTTCCGTAGCATCATAAATTTATTCAAATCTCACATGAAATCTACAGCGTTCCACTTGAAGCTCAGTCGTTGAAATGATATCGATCCTGACCCGAGATATTGAAGGACACTATATAAGATTCACTAAGTTTCTCGTCGGCCTCCCTTTTCCCCACCTTGAAACATATAGCACCGCAAAATTTCTCAAATAACGTCAGCTAACAAGTATCTCAACGTTTTTAGTTTTATAATCAATTTTTCAGAGATTCTTCCTCCTCCTTAAGCATCTGAATTTCGTCTTTGTTCAGAAAGTAATAAGACGGAACTCTGCCTCTCTGAAAATGGAAGACGAGAAATAGAAAATGCATGAATTTTCGAAAGTGGATGAGAAATGTTTTTAAAATTTAAAAGATGTATACTCACATAATCTTGGGGTTTTCGGGCTCCTCCTTTCACTAGTATTTTTGCCAGTTGGTCTACTTTATCCAGGCCCATGGCATAATGCATGGCTGTTCTCCCCATCTGAAATTTTTGAGAAAGGTCTTTTTAATTTGTTGTCACAAATATTATCAAGTATGCTACAGTTAAATTCTGTTACATAGAACCTTGTTCTGACAAATTTGTTTTCTTGGTCCAAGCAGTTTCTCTGTTGGTTTCATTTGAAAAAGTCCTGTTTCAACAAACTCATTTTTGCTGTAAAGCTGTAATCTCAGTCTAAAAGTTTTTGTCCCTGAATTTGTGCCTAGGCAAAATGGATTATTTGATAAATGGCAGAAACATTGAAAAAACTGAAATGGTGCAGCATTCAAATTCCATCAAAGGAATTTTCAGCTATTTTAGTAATGTGTTAAAAATACGCAATTTGACATATTTCTTGGAAATTCTTCACCTTCATTTCAGAATGTTTGTCTTTTTTAAAAATAATCAGTACATTGTGAATAAATTTCCTCCATTTGCAAGAATGAACAAATATGATTGAATAGGTTGATTCAGATGGAATTACAATATTTTTTTCCAAATGCACTTTTTTAATGATTTTCAAGACAAATGAGAAAAACAACTTTCCGTCCAAGTTACTATACTTTCATCAAAAATAAGTTTTTTTAAGAGAAGTATAGTAGTCTAATAACTTATAATACTGTCCAGAACTTAGTAGACAAGATCTTATTGAAATGTCTATTTATTGCCAATTTCCCATCAAATGTCAGACTAAAATTTGTGCAGCATGATGACTGACATGTTTCTTCCAAAACCATTAAAAATTGTAACTTGTTCAATGTTATGAATGTTTCCAACCGAGTTATCAAAGCAGGAATTCCACTTGCAAGACATATTAATACTCTCACACAAAGGCAACCACATCAATACAAAATCTTGAAAAACAATCATGCAATTAAAAATATAGAGAGCTTACGTTGTCTTGAAGAGAGACTGTTTCTGGAAAGTTTTGCACCAGGAACTCAACAATGTCCATGTACTCAGTCAAGGTGGCAATATGCAGAGCTGTTCTGCCATAGTTGCTTTTTGCAATTGCCAATTGACTCGCCCCGTCTGTCAACGTCTCTTTGACTCTGCGCAAGTCTCCGTTTCGAATCGCCGAATGGAGGATGTTTCTCAAGTCCTGGGTTATATTCACAATCATTCAACGTGGGATAATTTTCTTTATCAAGAATAAGATACGTTTAATTTTTTATTCAAGCCAGCTGAAGTTGAAAAAAAAATTTAATTGCTTTGGCAAACGTGAATTTTCTACCTTCACTCTTGAGGATTGAAAATTCTGCTGAACTTTTTTGGGAATTTCTCATAATCCAGTTTATCAAGCATTGAATTGTAAATCTAATCCTTAGTTCCTTACAAGACTGTGATATCTTCAGCAACATTTCACCTGCTGAATTGTTTCCAATTCACTACATTAGAAGGGTATTAAAATCGTTGGGGCTTATACCTAGTAATAAGCTTCAAACTGAACACGAAGTTGAAACGTACTTTTGCCATGTTACATAAGTTCGGAGTGAAAGACAGATTAAAAAAAAATCTGTAAATAATAAAGAACCTAATTTTAACACAAATGTTATACTAACTGAGAATGGTTCAATGCCGGACAAGAGTTCCACTGTTTTGTCTTGGCCTTTTTTGTTTGCAGCTTCATACGCTGTGAGTCCATCCAAGTTCTTGACATCAATGATGTGATCGTAGCCCTCCATTAAGAGATGGTAAATTTCGCTCCTTTTCCCTGCAATTATAAAATTAGCTTGTGCACAAAACTCTTGCTTTCACTTCACCATACCTGAAGATCGTAAATAAGAGCATGAATCTACACCAAATACTGTTCTTATACTCAAATACCATGTGGGTCCTGAAGTTAAATAAGATAAGCACCTTCCCTTTTTTCATTTGTTAATCTTTTTGTTATTTCAAATAAAGTATAATTATTTCTAACATATTTATTTGTAATAGAGGCGAAAATTCTGGAATAGAGCTGAAGAATTTCTAGGAAATATAATGTTAGTTTTTTTTATTTTTTCAACACTAAATTTTCTCTACAGAAAGTGTTGCTTCTTTGATGAAGTTAGAATACTGCAACATTTAGATTTTCCTAAATTGTTCTTCTATTTATCCATTCATCCATATTGTCAATGCGCAGAATCAAGGCCAGCAATTTGTTGTGGAATTGTATCTATTGTCGTATTTTTATTTCCACGAGTAAATTATAATTACATAATTTTTATAATTTGAGAATTCTCTATAGGGGGGGGGGGAGGTTGAGCAACAGACCTTTTTCAAAGTTTTAAACCGAATTACAACTTGCTGAAATGATAAGTTTGTTCTCAAATAAAAGGGGAAATTCCATTGCCTTTGATTTTTTTCTATGCATTATTCAGCTGTGATATGATCAGAAGATGATGCAGAAAATACTGCATGGAAAATTTGTATGTCCAGTTAGGACCCAAGTATAAATAAATGTGCATCCCATTTATGAGTCTAAAATATGTTGGGGGGAAATTGTTTGGGGTATTGAAGTGAATATGGTACTGTAAAATGTTAATGCTGGGTGTTTGTGGTACTGCACCTTCAGCAGCAAGATTCACCACATAGTCATCAATAGCAGCCACATTTTCTCTCACACCAGCAGCTCTTGCAACATCTCGGCAAGTTTGATACCTGAAATAAATAAATAAATAAAATAATAACTTGAATTGCATTTTACTGTGGCAAGTGTCATTGTAAATTGCATACCGCTCATCCCTGGCTGCTAAACTAGCATTTGATTCATCAATGATCTTTTTGAATCCCTGCTTTGGGTTTGCCCCATGTGGTCTTGAAGAGGCATGGTGCAACACAGTCTGTCCTCTTTCATCCTGAACCACAATATATCCAACATAATCACTCAAGCTGTTCAAAATACCATGTGAGTATAAAGACCTTGCACAGTGGTTTTGGCAAGCTCATGCAGATGAAACACCAAAATAGAGGCACAGCAAGTGAAGTGGAGATTTAAAATATAAAAAGCGAGCATTTCCAGACAGGTGGGTGCCAGGGTCAAAAGTCCACTTCTATGTAATATGTCATGGTTTCTATATAGGTAGGGGTCACACAGGGACATAAGAGGATGGCCTACAGCAACATCAGTCCTGCTGCTGGGGTACACACACTGAGGCAAGTACCCTGGCAGTGGATGATTCCTTGGCTTGACGCATTGGAGCTGCTGAGGTTGAGGACTCTGATGGGGTTGGAGGGTTTGGGAAATTTTCTGGAAGTTGGAAGCTGGTGGCTGAGAGTGTGTCTTCTGGTTCTTCTTCATTTGGTCCAACTTGAGGAACTCCTTCATCATTCAGTTCTCCTTCTTCTTCCTCCTGCTGGATTGGAAAGCACAACATTTGTCACAAACAAATAATTAACTGCTGGAATTAAGATGGTTGTGATATGATAAGGATAAAATTATAATCAGGAATATTCATCTGTAACTCAACTAATTTTTTACTGGCCTTAATGTAGGTGCCAACGTGAAAGAAGACTTAACAAGTAGCCAAACATTTCTACCATACAATAAAAAACGTTTTCTACCTACAAAATGTTCCCTGTAAAGATGCTTGAATTTCAGCAATTTTTAGTTAACGTTTTTAAATATTTTTTCAAAGGCAAGTATTGTGGAAATTTTTAATAGAATAAAAAATTGATAATTGTTTCATGCTCTAACCCAAAAATCTTACGCTTCCAGAAACTTGAGATGAGCCCAAAAATCTGAACTATTGCTGGCCAGTAAAAACTGAAAAACCTTCAAAGTAAAACATTTAACTACATCCTGACATCATCAAGCAACCAAACAAAGTTCAAAGATTTTCCATTTAAAAAAAATAAATGCCTTATCCTAAAAAAAAACCTTTGTTTCTTCGGAATCTTGGAACATTCAGAATAAAAGTTTGATCACGTGATCTGCACATATCCTTCAAAAATTCTGAAAATGTGTCCTTGATATTTCCATGTGCCAAAAATGTTAATAATATCTCAGGGGATATAGTGCCAAGATTACTCCACTTTCATCTTTACAATTGTATACATACATGGGTATGTGAAAGTCGATAAATTAAGGTCAATCCCCGGATTTTTGCAAGTTTCTGCTGGAACACATAACATAATTTCTTAGTAAATGTGATGGAAATAAAATTTCGCTTGAAGGAAATCATTTACATTATGAATATAGACAACCCAATGTAAAAATAAAAACCAATGAAAAGTTGAAAACCCATGTTATCATCTTGTGAAAGTAATGTGCATTTATACATATGTTAAAATACTGAAATATGAAGCTGGATGTAGTAATCCACATACTGTAATAAGATTAAAAAGTGCAACTGAATGGAAAAAAATTAAATGACACGTCATTAGCAAACACAATCAGACAATTGTCAGACTTGCTTTCTGATTCACAGGCAACGAATATCTTGCCTCAACTGAGATGACCAGAGTGTTGGGGTGGTTGTTATTCTCTGTGCTGATGCCAGCATATCCATGCAGAAAACTTGCAAGGAAGGCTACAGGGTCATTGGGCTTCCTCTTGGAAATCTCTGTCAGCCCTCTGACCAAAGGATCTCCAAGAACTGTGAACATATGAAAACATTCATTGCCTATAAATAAATTTTACACAGATGCAGTAAAATCTTGACACAACAAATCCATTGGGATCAGGAATAAATATTTTGTAATGAACAGATTGTTATGTTCCAAACAACACTGTGGAAATTCTATTATGGGTGGGATGCCATCAGTCAAGCTAACCCTAGTCATTACAGTGGTGCTCCAAAACCTTTTTGGGCCCACAGGACACTGTCACACTTTAAAAGGCAGCTTGCAGACTGGAAAAATTCCAGGAAATTTTTTGTGGACTGGCAAAGTTTCATAAAAGTTTTGTAAACTGGCAGACATTTTTTAAATGACTGTGCCATGAAGTCATTCAACCAAAACTGTTATTACAAACATTAGGCAAATAACGGATGAAGCCACTACAGTGGAATGTCTTCAAAAAATTATTAATCTTGGCTTCAAGAAAGGTTACTCAGAATGAATACTTGAAATAATTTATTTAAGCGCGTGAAAATTTGTTTGAAGTGAAATTAGGAGAAAAGCCAACATGCATTTTTCATCAGATGATTTCAATTTTCATTGTCTTTCCAAAACTTCAGATAAAGATAACAAACTTCATCACTAATCAAGTATGAAAAATGTATTATGCAGAAGAAAATTTCCAATGGACCAGCAGAAAATGTCTGCAGACCTGCATCTGTCTGATGCAGGCCATGGGTTGCAGAACACTGATTTGAAGGGACCCTAAAATGAGACAATATACTGTAAGCAAGATTTCATTGTAATGAGATTTGTTGTAGCCAGATTCCACCTGCAAAATCATGCAATGGCTGAAAACTAACCTTTGACCAGGTATTGGCCTTCATCAGTCCACACCCCAGGAAACCTTTGGATAGACTCCATTTGCCCTTCAGTCTCTGGAATTTCAGTCATCATTTCTGCAGGATTTTCTTCCCTGGAAGCTAGAATATTGAAAGCCCAACACTACTGAAATGATGTTTGTATATACACACAATACGTGAGGAAAACGTGGTAACTTTTTTTTTTAGTGTCTAACACAACAAAATTGGAAGTAATTATATAGCTAAGTGGATCACACTGCACAGCCTTGCAAAAAGTTCCAGGTCTTGGTGTATTATAACTCAATTTCCTGGAAAAAAGTAGGTATTTATATTTCCTCAAAGGTCTATTTTCTTGACAATACAGACATTTATGCAAATTTTGAATCCTGGATTATCCACAGCAATGTTCCCCAACCATTTTCTCGGTCGTCTGGTCGTTTAAAGATCACTGGAAGACCGTCTGAACGTTTAAAGGTTTTTTCAAAGACGTCTGACCGTTTCAAAGTACTTTAACAACATCAGAGTCTTGTCTAAACAAACTTTCTGAATATAGCAGGTATTCAAAGTTTCTGCTTTTTTTTTCAAAAATCAAGTCAAGAACCAATGGACCAGCCATACTGGAATGTCTTCAAAAAAATTAGAAAGCTGCGCTTGGAGAAATTTTTCTTAGAATTAAAATTTAAAATAATTTATTTCAGCAAGTGAAAATTTGGCTAAAGCATTACTATAAGAGCCAATTTTATTTTTCAACATATGCTGTAATTTTAGGTGTCCTAATCTTTCTGAAATTTCAGATGAAGATAGCAGACTTCATTGCTAATTTGATACATGTATTCTGAAGAAAATTTCCTGCGGATAAAAAAAAAAAAAAAAAAAAAAAACTTCTGGGTACCGGCGCTGGTCCGCGGACCACTGATCAACAGTACAGTATATTATATAAGAGTGGACTTAAAAATGAGCGAATGTACGAATAAAAATTTTTTTTATCATCATCCGATGAGTCGCCATGATTTTCTTGAGGCTCCATCGGGTTTATGCCTTGATTTTCCTTCTGACTGATGATGATGATGATGCCTCACCTCCACCATCAACTTCTCCAACAGCAACAGCAGAGTCCTGATCATCTTCGGGTTCTTCTTGGATGTTTTCTGGCCCATTTGCTTCCGGATCCTTATTACTGAGGTCTGCCAAGAGCTCATCTTCAGTTAGCTCCCCGGGGTTGCGTTTATAGTAACCCGGGGTTTTTCCTTCCTGTTCGTCAATGTATTTCGTGTGTGTGTGTGTATGAGTACATCACAGAGTGGGTTCGTAGACGATGAGTCGAAGTGTGAATGACGTAGCATCCAGTCCACGGTTTCGTGGGTGAAAATAGATTTTGAGAGAGAGAGAGAAAAATGCAACATTTAGTACAAATTAAGAATATGGTGAGTGTTTGTGGAATTGTGTGCATATACGCTCTAGCAATTTTTATATTATAGCACGTATGAATGTGCAAAAAGGTTTGAAACCATGCACAGTGCACAGGCGGTGAGTCAATTTCCCATGCAATAAAAAAAATGCGAATTTCTTGACAGGTTTCGTTTTTGCGAGAAATATGTGGAATCTCTCTCTCTCTTTAAAGAAATTATCTGTACAGCGAAATTTCTTCTAGAGAGCCTCTACGTATATGCTTAGAGACGCCTATGACTCAGTTCAAAAAATTGCTATACAGTACAAAGAAAAATGTTGTAGAGAGAGAGAGAGAGAGAGAGAGAGATTCTACGTGTAATTACAGAAATAAAATACTTTGGTTCGATATTCCGCGAAAGTATTGGCAATTAAAAAATAATAATTCAGGGTGGACTCTCCCTATACAACAATCTTGTCAACTACAGTATACGATTTTCTCTGCACAACTAATTTTTATTTTGTCCAATATTTATGCCCGTAATAATTATGACAGTGTTTATTGAAACACTTATCGAAGACGATAAGTGTTTTACTGTATAGGGATTCTCAACAAAGGAATTCTGGTCCCTAATGAAACCAATATTTTTTGGGTGCGTTGAATTTCGTTGTAGGCAGAGTCCACCAATACACGAATATGACAGTGATAGACGCGATTTTCTTCAGATCCCAGGAAAAGGTGAGTCATGAAATATACGGATTAGATTTATTTCCTGCGATGCAATGTATTGTGAACAAGAAACGGGTAAATAGCTTAAGTCAAGAGATATGTATTTTGTTAGCCTAATTGATTTATTTGAGCGTATTCATCCAGCCATTTTTTTAAAATCTCAGATCCCAGCAGGAGAAGGTTAATCATGAAAATATGGCTTAGATTTATTTACTATGATGTATTACTGTCTTGTGATTAACCCTTGGGCAGCAAAGTCAGACTAACTATTTTCAGGAAATTTTGTTGCACCTCAAAGAGGCCAAGGAAATAAAAATGACAACGGGGGGTTGAGGGCAAAGTCAGGGAAAATTTCTGATGTTTTTTCTTTCCATGCGAACAAATTTCCGGGGAAAATAAAATGCTCAGTTAAGCAACATGCTTTTTTTTATTAATCCTGACTTTGCCTCAGCCACCTGGAAGGGTTTACCTGACCTTCAAAGTACTGAAAGTGTGGCGAGGATACAAGAATAATCTGACTCCATCCTGCAAAGGGAAGGAACGCTATGCTGTCTGAGGGTTTTGAAATGGTTTAAATATCTTAATCAAGAGAAATTCCATTTCTTCAGCCTAATTCATTTATGCAAGCTGGTACTAATATAAGAAAGTGGGAAGGGGTTTAAAAATTCCAAGAATTCTGTTATTTTGATCCTAATATTCCTTTCCACAATCTAGTCTTGAACACTCAACAACAAAACCCGTTTACTGTAGTCTTTTTTTATGCATCCTTGCCTCATTTCCAAAAATCAGTGGGAAATCAAAGTTTTTTCCTACTCTCCCCTTATTACCCCCCCCCCCCCACACCATTTTTCTTTTCATACTTTCCACACTTGGAAATAATTGCTGGTCTCAAACTAGTAGTAGAGCGTCCGCACTGCAGACGCTCTACTACTAATTGCACCCTAATTGAACTTAAGAATTCAAATTTTTATATATTATATTTGAAAAAAGAATTGCTGTATGACATTATAGACATAACATTGCACTGTTTTTCTATGTTAGTGCCCCAATGTGGCAAAATATACATACATACATACATACGTACATAAAATACATTTGAAATCATCATTACATACTGAGTGAAATTCTGGAAATTGGAATTTTTTTGGCTGGAAGAACTTAAAAATTGATTTTTTTTATTTTCCTGAATTAAAAAAATTTTGTGCAGCTGTATTTGCAATGACATGGGGTTTTCAATTTGATCAGTTAAAAATTGAGATCTAGAAAGGAATTTTTCCCATTTTTCACTCAATTTTTTGAAAAAGGTATGCATTTTTTTATATCTCAGTCAATTTTTGGAATTTTTCAAAGTTGGAAATGGGGAAATGTGCAGAACTTCATTGCGCATCCACCCTATAAAAAAAGGTAGAGTTTTGTTGAGCAGAAATCATATGGTGAATTTTTATATTGAGAAGGTTGGAAAACAAAAAATTTTTGGACTTTCAAGTTTAACTCATAATATTTTTGGAGCAATTTCAATTTTAAAATTGTTCTTGGATGCACAATGCATTTCTACAAATTTGGAATTTTTTTGGCTGGAGGAAGTTCAAATCAAAATAGGAAACATTTTCTAAAAAAAAATGTGCCAAGGGGTGGGATTGGGAAACGGACAATTCCCACGATTCTAATTCCCCCGCCTCTATTCCCCCTGCTCTAAAATCCCCAATCCTAAAATCTCGATTTTTAAAATCCCCAACGTTTATTCCCCCTGGTGTCTAATTGCCCCGAAATAAAAATCCCCATTTGCTAAAATCCCCGAAAATGCAAAATCCCCAAATACACAAAATATCACCAAAAATGAAAAAAATTCGGCCAAAATTGGATTATTTTTGTATGCTGTGGTGTTTCAAGTTTTCTGAAGGTCAGAAAAGACCTTCCAGGTGGGCTGAGGCAAAGTTGGGATTAATCCAAGAAAAAGCCCATTGCTTAGCATAGGATTTCTTTCATTTTCCCACAAAATGTTTCTGTGCAAAAAGAAAAAAAATTGGATTTTTCCCCAACTTCATCCTAAAATCCCTTTTTCTACCCTGAGGTGAGCAGAAGAAGAGGGATGCCAACCTGAAGAATCTGTTTCAATTGTTCAACAGGCACAAAATTAGTCTGGGAAAATTTTTGAAGGAAACAGCTAAAGCAGTGAAACTGAGATAAAATTAATAATTTTTTTTATTGCTGATGCAACTTTTTTTTTACATTTTTTGTTTTTTTCAAATTTTACGTTTTTTTCATTTTTACGTTATTTTAATTGTTATTCAATTATACTTGTTAAATTCAATTTTTGTCACTCAGAAATAAGAAAAAAAATTGTCCAACCATCAGTTTTTTTATTTTTGGGGAAAATTGTACATCAGGGATTTTTATTATGGGGGATTTCAACAAAAAGCAGGGAAATTAAAATCGGGGAAAATAACACTCCGGGATTTTAAAAATCGGGCATTTTAATTTCAGGGATTTTTGTGACTGGGGATTTTAAAATCGGGGATTATTATTTGGGGGAAATAGAGGCGGGGGAATTAGAATCGGGGGAATTGTCCTACACCCCAATAAAATGTAGCCTTGGAGGCCCAGAAAGAAACATGAGAACCAAGGTCTTTTGAGATTCTCACAGAGATGAAATGAAAGAAGATTCTACTAAGAATTCAGGTTCTCTAATTTTGTGTGACAAATTCAATACAGTGGTGCCTCACCTAAGAACCACAATTTGTTCCTGAGCTGTGGTTGTTCGGTGAAACAGTTGTAGGGCGGATCACATTTTCCCGTAAGGATTAATGTAAAACTAAATAATTGGTTCCTGAGAAAAAAAATTCTGGCTGAAAAATTTAAAAATTTGCCCAATTTGTCAAATAACAAGGCACAGATCCTCGAAAACACTGCCATAGTACATTCCAATTCTTTCCTCATTAAATTGCCTTGCTATCTTTCAAAAATTAACCCACAAAATTAAAAGCAATTGTACCCCATGCATATGCAACATCTATGAGTTATGCAGGAATCAATCTTTCTGCATAACTAGCATAGATGTCACTTTTGCATAAGGTACATCAAGCAATTTCAGGCCTAGAATATCACCAATTAGAGTTTCCTTCCATTCTTTCTCACTTTCCCTCAACAAAAATGCTTGAGAAACAACCATTTTTGTTGAGAAGAAGAAGGAAAAGCATAAAAAAAATTTCTTCCATGAAAATTTGTTAAAGGGAAGGCCAGAAAATGTTCGCTAGGTGGGCAAATCCAATTTTGATTTTAATTTTTTTTATATTGCCAGGAATTGCATTTCTAACTCATTTTGTACATTTTTTTAGAGAATTAAGCAAGAAAGAAAGTGAATGAATTTCCTGACAGATGGAATATGTCTTTTGTTTTTTGCCTTTCTTTGGAACCCTCCTTAATTTCACTATTATCTTCACTTTGTTTTGCACTTAATTCTCTGAAAGCATGTAAAACATAAGTTAGTTGGGCATTTGGGGAAAAAAAAAATTTTTTTGATTAAAAGTCGGAGTTGCCTGACAAACAACAAATGGTCATTTGGCAGGACAATGGTTGTTGGGTGGGACACTTTTTCAGGGTTTTGAACCATTGTTTGGCGGATCCGTCTTTGGGCGGTGCAGTCGTATGGCGAGGCACCACTGTACTGCCGTTTATTTTTGTGACATATGGGACCACAAAAATTTGTTATACAGGGACAACTTTTAAAAAATTGTTGCAGAGAAAGTTCATCTGCATCACTACTAATATGCTATCCAACGGGTTTTTTTGCTGCAAAAATATTAATTTGAATTCCCTTGTTGGTCACATTATTGCAACTTCATCTACAAAAAAAAAGTATGCATAAAAATTTGGATCAGCTTTCATTAATCTCTATTTTGAAGCGATATAGTTACAATATTCAGCTGCTGTATCACGTTTTAATTTCGGCCCACTTCTGAACCACCGGTAATCCTGTGATGAAGAATTACCAAAATACATATCCCATACGGTTTTCGTTTACGGTTGCATGAAGGCAAAAGT